CCCCCCCCCCACACACACACACACACACACACACACACACACAGACATACTCACACAAACTCTGCCAATGTAAAAAAACATTGCGTTTCTGCAGTGCTGCTAAATCTGCCATAATTGTGATCCCAAAACAAGCAGGGTATACCAAAGCCCGCAATCTCGATTTTAGCTGCCTCTTTTTAATGGGCGGAAAGTTCAGGTACTGGTTGATCGAAACAAAATCTAGGTCTGAATTTGTACTTTCTTAGCCTGAACCTCCCAACTCTGCTTGCCGCATTGTGTGACTTTGTAGGACATCATAAAAACATGGTATACTGGATGGAGTTTTATTAGTGGTGCTATCATGACAGGGCGTACCACTTTGTCAGCATGTCATTAAATGAAATTGATTCCCCTCTCCCAGGTCTCAGATGGTTTCTCCCATGAACCAAATGAAGGGTATTTGTGGGCCTCACTGTGAACAGCAAAATCCTCTCCTCTCTGCAGCCATGTTGACAAGATCACCACTTGGCAAGACCCCCGCAAGACCATGACCGGCGCCGTAATCCACCAGGGCCTGCATGCCCCACCCACCCCTGGCCCCGTGCAGCAGTGTCCCGTGGCCCAGACTCAGCCAAACCTCGGTAATTGCCGCCTACACCTTCTGGAACCAGCCCCACAGGCGTAACTGTACTGCCTGGTGTTACAACACTCACCCTGCGGCACACAAATCTGATAAAGTCAGTAATGATTATACTTATGCTAACAGGCTTCTAGGCCTCCCTTTGCACCACCGTTTCTCTTACTTTCAATCAAAAGTAAAGATTACTTTTACACTTCTGCGGATTTCTCAACGCTTCCCCCTAATGCGGCGTGGCTGCTTTAAGGTAACATAAGAAGTAACACGTCTTTGGGAGGTAGTGCTCCCATGTGACCGTCACCTGACCTCGGTGAGCCCCAGGGTGCCACTCACACGACCCCGAATCCCGGGGCTTCCCGTTCGGGACGGCGGAGCTTGTGACACCCCGCTCTGGATGGCGGGACTCATACCTACTCATCGTTCACTCCGTTTAATAATCCTAAGTATGGAGCATTCATGCATATCGTTAGCAAGCCGCTGGACGAGGTAAACAACCTCTGTATTTTTCTTCCCGATAAGTCAAATCGGTACGTATTGTAACTCATTTTAATGCACAAGGAATTAACGATATATTAACGCTAGTGATGGAGGACGTGGAGATTCAGACTTTTCGGTTGCGGTTTCGGATGTGGGTTTCATGCAGTGTTAAGCATGGTATGGATTAACTCACTTCCCATCAGACATTCTAAGGGCTCCCAGTGGTTTTAATCTGACGTCGATTGAAAATACACCCGAATTTCGTTTCATCGTTAATTAGATCTGAGATTTCTTAAGGGATTTTTTTATTCCTATCCTGTCTAAGATCAAGGCTGTTAAAGCAAAGAAAGGCTGTGTCCTGATTGAATGGAGACCTGGTGGATTGGGAGTCAGCAAATGCAGCACATAGAATATTCTTCGTAATGAGAAACGTGTTATCGTGAGAAAGTGTCAGTCTTTCCGATAAGGTTTTGGTTTATTGGCAAAATCGGGCCCAAGAGGGTCTGTAGTGACCTGGCCTTATCCACAATGGCAGGAAATTCGTCATCAGGGCTGCTGGGTATTGGGGGTGATGGTTCAGGGCCCCCCAGATTCCCATGGTGCCTGGCAGCATCGGTATCTCAGTCACTTTTGCCGGCTGATTGAGTAACTGGCATTTCGTTTGTTTACGACAAACCTTCTTAAACTGCATGAGAGATGTCCAGTTGCAAATCAGTTTATTTTCTCAGTATGTCTCTCTCTAAACCACCAATATACATAAACACACACACTCCCCCTACACAGTAGCCCTCTACCTCGACTCTGATTGGTCCACCTGCTGCGGAGCCTGGGATTGGCCCAAGTGGGAATGTATGTAATTGGCTGTGAGCTGCAGGGAGCAGCAGCCCCATACCGTGCCTGTGCAATCACTCTCCGTCCACGACCGCTTCCCAACAGAGCTCTCTGACTCCGCCCACTTTGGCTGCCTCTCCCTCCTACACTGGGCCTGGAACAAAGCTGGCAGGAATCCTATTCGTCAAGAGGGGAATTCTATCGCCCTTTGTTGTCCCGATGGAGATTTTCCACCTCTTTGTTCTCTTCTTTCCAGCCTGCCTAGTGACAGGCACATAACTCAATAGCAGTGTATTCTCAAACAACTCCCCGAGCCAGTGTTTCGAATCACCATTTTTGGTAAACTTTCAACATTGGCTTCAGTGACGGTATTGTGTCACTGTGATGTAGCAAAGTGTAACTATTCATCAGCTGAATCTTCTACTAATTTATGTAAAACCTATTTCAAATTACCCTTTACAACAGGCTGGAAGATGTTGCCATAACGATAGTGTGACCACCAG